AAGTAACAGAAGCTTTTGTAAAATCTTAAAAGAGAGAGAGGAAAAGGACGTTTTCACAAATGGAATTAGAATGATGCAGCAAAGTTTTGGACACCTGCCAGCGAGGACAGATGCATCGTGCACACAGTGACTTGCCTACGAGCCTGCACATTGGCAGCTTCCTGGTCTGTTAATACAGCAAGCCTACAGCCCAAGCATAAGCAGTGCAAACAGAGCACTGTTCATCTTAGCACTTCATGTTTTTGCCTGGCAAGTTCTCATAGCTGTGTGTGTTGGCAAATTTTCAGCCCTATAAACAATATTGAGACTTTAAAACTTTCTATCATGGAGAAGATTTTTTTAAAACTAGGGAGTGCATTTTCTTTCTTTGCTTTGGTGAACAGGCTTGTCTTTTCTGTGCGTAAATGGGATGTAAGGTACTTCCAATGCTGCCAAAATATGATATTAGCATTACGGTACCAATAAATGGTGTGTGCCTTCTTAGGCTTCTGTTCAGACGTCCCCTACTCTGAAGAAACTTTTGGCTTTTGTCATCTTTAATGGAAGACTTCACTGCTACTAGAGTAACTTTTGACACTGATTTCCTGATAGCCCTGTAATGTCCCCTTTAATGGGGGAGATGCAATAATTTCTGGTAGCTTGTTGAGCAAGCATGTAGCTGCTAGGTTCTTCCTAGATCCGGGCGAAGTATAATGACAGTGGTTCTTAAGCCTGCTCTTTGGAACATCTCTAGTGTTCTGCATGGAAAGGGAATCTCAGACTTTAATTTCTTACCTTAATAGGGGCTAAGCATTTTCTTTGAACATAGCTGTTATGGAGGTGTCCAGCTAGCATGATTGAAATCCCTCTGCATCTCCTTTCCATTTCTTTGCTGACATTTTAAAAATGTCTTATTTATTACCTCTAGAGGCAGTATTTACCATATTCCCATGGATTTTTATTTTATTTATCTATTTATTTTTATTTAGTACTATTGCCTTCTGGATTTGTATGCTTGGTTTTGGCTCCATAAAGAAGTGGGAGAAAGGAGACCCAAAGAGACCTTTAAACTGCTAGGATGTAGTGCTGTGTAACAGTTTCAAGATTTTGTTCCTCAGAAGAAACGGATGTTCATTCAACTTGTGTGTGACCACCTGAAAGTGATGGATGGGCTAATTAGGGCATAATACCTGCTGTGACTGTTCAGTTCCAGTAGATCAACCGTGATGATGAAGGGCACTGCTGGGGCTGTTGGCCCCTTCTAACCATAACCGTTCTGTGATTCTGTGAAGATGGCTTCTCAAAGACAACAAAGAAGCCTTGGAGCTGGGAGACCAATTTTTTCTACCTGCCTTGGAAGAAGGAGATAGTTAGTAGTCCTAGGATACCTGGATACCCAATTTCTCACCCCGGGGTCATGCACAAACTGCATAGGCTGCAGTAGGTAGTTATTACTCCTGGGAACTGGATTGCATCTTGATTCAGAACTTTAATTAAAGTCATCTCTCAGTCGAAAGAAGGTTGACTGACCTTGAAAGAATGGTTACTGCCAACGGAGAACAAATTTCATAGGAGATCTTGAACTGAGCACTAAAGCATGATGATAAGGAGGCCAATATCTGCTGTATGGTTTACTGGAAAAACTACTGTTAAGCTTTAAGAACTAAAATATCCAAGGTCACTAATGCTCCACAGCTTCTTAACACATTTAGCTTGCCTAGTAGATCTAATTAAGATAGGTATCGTTAGTCTTCAATAAAGAGGATTAGTTATTTTGCACATCTTCCTATAAGCCCAGTTAGGTTCGGTTGAGACTTCACAATCATTGAACAAAAGCTGTGAGAGATTCTCTTGACTGACAGACACTTTGCCAAAACAAAAGGCACTTACTCTCCTGTAACTAATGAAAGGAGGTGAGGGATCAAGTGATAACTGGCAGTAAGAATTGGTCTGTGTGCTTTGAGTTAATGAGGAAGAGCATGTATAGCCAAATATCAGTGTGATAAAGTTTACTGTTTTATAGTAATGCTGAATAAAAATGGCACGTGGTTGGGAACATTTAAAATCACAAAACAGATATACTGCTGTGGAGCGAGCTTTTGGGACTTCTTGAAAATGTAAGCGTCTCAGGGTTATCTTTTTGTTGTCATTTGGAGGGCAGGAGAATTGTGCTTCCAAAGCCAGTAAGGAAGGATAAACACAGCGCTGTCGGTGCTAGTGATGAAAAGTCTGAGGAAGTTCTTGGGTAACTCAGTGCTAAGAATTTAATTCCTAAGAAAGCCTCTACTTAAAGGCAAAGTATGCTGCCCATCACTTGGGCATATCTTGCAAAGTCCAAAAGCGTGTGAAGGATCAACTGCTAGATCCTCTGTGGTGCTGGTGAGCACAGGAGCAAGAGGAGATAGAATGAACATATCTGTGCCAAATTAACTCCTCAGAAGTAAATTTTAGGTTTAAGAATTATTTTTTTAGTTCTAAATTAAATAATTTTGGTTTGTGATTTTTAAGATGTGATATTGAGAAAAGGTGTTAGCAGTTATTAATGTCTCTCTACCATAGGCCTACGCTGGACAACATTGAGCCGTGTTTTTTTCCTGTTTTTGTTCTTTTATAGGGCTTTGCATTATGATTAAATATGATCCATGCAAAAAAAAGAAAAAAAAGCCATTTGCAGTACTTCCATACAGTATATATTTACCAGAGAAATGGGAGATACTTGGGAGATAAGTCTGTGTTGGTGTTCACTGTGAAACAGTAAGTTCTTTTGCACAAGATGTTGCCCTTCAGCAGGCAGTACAAACCCGGTGCTCCTAGTGTGCCAGGCTGGAATTGCATAGAACAATGAGTAGTGTGTTGGAAAAAAGCCTAGGAAAACTGTTGACTCTTGGCATTATTACTTCCTATTGCAATTAAAGCTGCATTGTAGTACTTGGCAAACCTTGGGGATAAAGACCTGCGTGTAGTGCTACCATAGCAATATTGTTTATATGAACAGCCCACTGAATATGGCTTTTCTACACTGGAAGGAGGGTTAGGGACTTGGAGAGACCTTTGGGTTGAGTGGAAAAATTTTCTTAAGTGAAGCTGTTTGGCAAGATGAGATAGGTTTCGGTGGGTGATTTGTGCTCCTCACTAAGATAGCTATGACTCTTACCTGGAGCCATGATTCCGCAGTTTGTGAAAAACGTAGAGGCTTTTCCTTTGGAGGGACTTTTTTTTTTTGTCAGTTCATTGCTAACACAATTTTACGTTGTTCCTAGCACTTATTAATTAATGCATTGAATGTGTCAACGTTGACATTTCCCTCAATTATTTGGTTTCCTGGAGTGCCCTGTATGTTTTATATAAATTTATTATCTTGATGTTAGTATAAGTTCACCATTTATTTTACAGAAGCCTTTATAATAGTGATCGTATAATTGATCAAAGTGTGACAACATTCCACAATGCTATACTGGCCAGGTAAGATAGATTTAAGTGATTTTGAAACAATGATAACATTTTAAGTACTGATAAACTGTCATTCTTCACCTCCTATGTACAAACTGGGATACTGTATACAATACTGTATTTTGCCCGACCACTGCAGTGGTTGTTGAGTTTGCAGAAAACAGAGAGATTTAGATGAAGTGAAATGAAGATGGCAAACCACACCTCATCTTGGATACTAATGATACTTTACATTATGATCTCTGAAGCATCACCACCACCAAGCCTTGATCTGCACTGCTATGTTGTTTATACAGTACAGCATAGAAGAGCTCTCTAATTTAACAGAACGTGTACTGAGCCATGTGGGAATCACTCCTCTGTCATGTCAGGCAGGTATCACTGTGGGACAATGGAGAAGATAAATTCAACATGATAAAACTGCTCGTATGAGCTTATACCAGAGGAAACAGTTTTTTTTTTTAGTCTTCTTTTAATATCATCCTTTGCATGAGGAGGACTTCTGTTGCTGAGCTTAAACACTACTGAGTGATAACTTTTGCAACTTCAAAAAGCACTTTTTCCATGTTCATTTTGCAGCTATTGGAGCTCCTTGAGACTGCAAGGGATTTTGTGCTTTAATAGGCATTTTCCCCCAAATGATCTGTACAGTAGTATTTAGTTGTCTTGGAAATAATGTTGTTTTAGGAGTATCAGAAGACCTCTTCCCTTAATCTTTTTTGCGGTAAGTGCAATCTTAACTTTGTCCAAGAAGTGCAGTGGATTCCCAGTAGCATGTGCTTGTGATGGGCTACCTGGGCACGTAGATCAGCTCTCTGATCTGACTGAAACTTCATGTCCTGACCATTTGTTGGATTACGTTTCACCTGAAACAGGGGGGGTGATTCAGCATTGCTCCTAAGGCAGGCAAAAGGAGGTGACTTAAATGAGCTTAAGTTGACTGTGAAACTGTACATTTGCATTTGAATTTTCTTCTTCTGAAGATGCTTATTTGAAGGGAGTGCTCTTCAAAGCCCCTCATTGCTCCTCATCTCAAGATTTTTAAGAGGTTAATTGGTATGATGACAGCAGAAGACCCTGGAAAAAAGGTCTTTGTTCATTATTTTGCTTTGGGTTTCTGATCATCAGTTTTACAAGTAGTAACTGATGCAAAGTTCTTGGATTTTGGTTGCATAGGGACTCTCCCTGTTTTCGGAGGCATAGAAAGGACCGTGGAGATACGTAGTTGCTGTCTCTGCCTTATTGCTTGTTTTCTGGTCCGAGAGCTTCTGTGATTCGCCTTTCACCCAAGAACTCCTGGGTGGAAGTATTGCTAGGAAAGTGATTTGGGGTTTTGATCTGGCAGAAGTTACGTGCGTGACAGAGTAGGTGCAGAGGGGTGGCAGTTTGGTTTGGCCAGAGCTTGGGTGCACTGTGTGAAAGTGTATATGTTCACATGTCCCTACTTGCTGTGCATCTTTAGATAAAGCACAGGATGTGGACATATTTATTTAGGGAGCGCCATAAATATGGAGATGGCTTAGGGACCCTTACTATACATGGTGAGTTTTGAGGTGTTATATATGACAGTCATGGAGAAAGGGAATTGGTAATGCCCCGAGCCAGTAATTTAGTTTTACTATGCATTTGTCTGCTGACCTATTGCTACACAAATCAAAATTAATAATACTATTTTATAGTAGTATTTGTTGCAAATCCATCCTGCCCGCTTTCTGATTTCATTGCACCTGGAGATGTAGTGGAGCTTCCAAATTAGTCTGCTATTTTATATAACTGGTCAGTGTTTTCTTGGTTGTAATTGTTTTCTTTCTTTATGTTTTTTAGGGATTTTCTTCCACGGGGATCCGGAATTGTAACAAGACGACCATTAGTCTTGCAACTTGTCACTGCCAAAACAGGTAACCTGTCTTTCTTTGTAGTTCAATACCTGGACAAAGTCCTGATTTACTGGAGTAGGAGGGGGAAAAAAATTCTAGGAAAACTTGAGCAGTGTGAAGAAAGGTGCAACTAAACTTTCTGGAACAAAGGCCCAGTGCTTCAAAACTGTATGCGTAAGAGCAATTAAACTCTTAGTCCTATCTGGGAAAATATTACAGTCTAAATCCTAGAGCACAGACTAAATTTAATTCAAGGTCAGACTTGAAGTGGAGGAGAAACATTGTTATGTACAAGCTATTTTACACATGATTTTTGATTTATTCTTTTCTTGATAAGCATTACAGTTGTATTAGTTAACACACCAAAACTGCTTAATTTTTACTTTCAACTCTTTGCTCCAGTGCACACAGGCTTGGCTTCGTGCAGCTTGCTTTCGTGACTTGTCGTCTTTGGTTGGGCTCATAGCACTAAGTAGAGCAGAAGTAGACTTGGGGAGAATGAAGCTTCTGAGAATTATCTGGTCTGGTCAAAAATAAAAAAAATTCAGCAAGTGTGTACTACTGAGATACTTGAGGTATTGAGACCTTTGTCAGAATTCACTGCTTCGTAATCTTACAAGTGGCACTTATCTGCGGTTGTGTAGCGCAATTCCTCGGCGTGTTTAAAAGCAGATATTGTTTTCCAACATTCTCTTTCTTCTTTTTTTTTTTTTTTAAATCATTTCTTAACTAATGTGAGCAACAAAATCACTAGCGTACCATTGACTTCTGCTTAAGATAGTTTAAAAAAAAATATGTCCAAAACAACATTTATAGAGGAAAAAAGTTCTATTTACTCTATGAAGCAGTTGAAAATTATGGAGGAAACAAAATTGAGTCTGCTTATGGAACTTTTTAGTCTGCCCCTTTGTGCAAGCATTAATACATTTTTGTGTATGTTCTTTTCTTGAAAGAT